AGCCCTGGTCCTTAACGTACAACATCACAAAAACAGGACGGTCCTGAAGGGGTTAAGGGGATAATATATATATATATATATATATATATATTTATATATACATATGCAATTTCATTCTAACTGTATTATAATTTTTTTTTTTTTTCATTTGAAGATTTGTATTGTTTCTCCAAGTAAAGTGGGTGGGCAAAGAAACGAAGGAGAGGTGAGAGGAGGACAGGGGTAACATTGACAACATGACATATCATCCATAAAACTAACAGTGGACTATCGATTTGACCATTCGAGGCCTGTCATAGCTTATTTAGCGTCATACTGTGTACCTTGTCACATTGCAACAACTAGTCCCTTCCATATGGTGCTGCCATTTCACAATCATTTACAATTGGTTTGGGTTACCCAATCTCCATGCATCCCAGATACTCCATGTTTCCTTGTTAGTTTATTGGGGGGGGGGAGGGATATGGATGTAATTCGCGTTTCATAATTTTTCTGTACATTGATGTCAGACTTTAGCTGATGTATGGATGTATCGAGGTAGTTTTCCATTTCCTCGCTATAAGTTTTTGAGCTGTGAGAATAATATGTGTGATCAGCTTTCACCTTTTCTTGGGGATCGAATTAGAGAGCTCCAGTGGGAGATACGTTAAGGCAGTGTGATTTAAGGTGCAGCTCGTGGTATCTTTTATTCATTTTTTAACCTCTTCCTAAAAAGGTGCTAACGAGGGGCAAAGCCACCAGATATATAGCATGGTTCTCTCTGTATTTTGGCATCGCCAACAAGAGGCAGACGTGTTTGGGAAGATAGTGTGTAGCCTGGTCGGCACTAGTTACTACTTGTACAGCACCTTTCTTTACTGTTCTAAGAGTGTTGAGGATTTTATTAATCTAGTTGAGGCACTGACTATGGAATCCAACCGTTTGGGAGTAATAGAGGTTGCTCTCCCAGTGTTTGGCTGGTTTGGATTCCGAAAAAGGCACATGGTCGGATAACAATCTATAACACGTGGAGATTGGTTTACAATGCTTAGGTGGTAACCCTTTGATACACATTCATTCTCACTCTGTGTTTTCTGAGTGTTTGTCTGAGTCAGGTAAGTGTATTTTTTTTATTCCAATGGTTTTTATTGAGTGTGCATGAATATTTTACAAACATGTTTAAGTGTTTCTTCGGTTATTACAGAATTTTCGTAACATACATAAAACATATTCGTCCAGTGTTAATCGTTAGATAGAGGAACATGTCGTTATAGAGTCACTATGTTCTTTTGTAGTAGCGTATCATTGGAGAGGACTCCACATTCCCAAGAGTGTTATGCATAGAACCTTTGAAACCTTGATAACTAGGGGGTTTTGTAAGGAGAGCACCCTTTGTTTAGCCCCTTAAGGACACATGACATGCGTGACATGTCATGATTCCATTTTATTCCAGAAGTTTGGTCCTTAAGGGGTTAAAGGTCTCAGGTGATCATCAGTGTCTCAGCTCTTTAAATGCTCAGTGGGGTAGTGAGGCTTTTGGGCCGTGCCTACTTTTAGTGTGCTTATACCTCCTTTCTCATCTGGGGGTTAGTGTCCCATTCTCTGGCTTGGTCTCTCTTGTTGTTATCTCTCTAATGTCTAGTGTGCTAGTGTCTTGTGCGCCCTAAACTCCCTTTTTCCATGTTTCTTCTGGCATCATGTATGGTGTCTATCAGAAAGTGTTGTGTTGCCTATCTAGCTATATGCTCCAGTCAATCGGCTCTAGTTGTGGGTTTGCTTAGGCCCCTTTGTCCCCTGTTTTGTTATTCTTTCGTTTCCCTGTTCCAGGGATGCGTGTGCTGTTAGTGGGTTAGCAGGGCGACTGATGTGGCTATGTGGAGATGTCTTGGGTATTATTGTCGTATTTCTCTTTGTGTTAGTGAGAGCCGTCCCTGTTTGGGTTTGTGGTGGGATAGTGGGGCACTATGGTGGGCATCAGGGTTGTTCGGGGTCGAGCTGTGTCTCTTCCCGTACGTGTGTGGTGTGTGAGTCTCTGAACTTTGGCTGTGAGCATGCGCGGGAGGGGTGTGTGTCAGCTCGTTGTTGCGAGTGGTTCCTATGGTGGGGACAGTGCTGGAGTTGGTCGCGCTAAGGTATGTGGACGTTTTTGGGTATGGACTAGGAGTTCAGGGAATAATGCCATAAGGAGGGGGGGAGGAGGCACCCGAGGGTCTCCATCCCCACACCCCGCCCGTGACCCCGTCCCCTGGCCCAGCCCCTTGCGGGCCCACTGTCGGTAGTCAATGAGATCTTTGCCCCCTGTCGGTAGTCAATGAGATCTTTGCGTCCAGCTCCGTTCGTGTCTCTGAGTTTCTCCCTTGGTTCTCAGGGTTGGTTATCCTTTGTTTCTCATCTTCTCGACCTATGCTTTCTATTCTTCAAGAATGGGTACTTTATGGTTGTCTGTTTCTGGCTATTAGAATTAGTTCTTCTATGGTTCTCATGTCTTCTACCCTCGTTATCCAGTCCGTCGTGGATGGGGTTGTGGTCTTTTTCCAAAATGCTGGGATCAGGCTGCGTGTTGCATTTTGTTAGGTACGGTGTGATTGTTTTTTGTATGTAGTTATGGTAGGGGTGTCAGGTGTAGCAGGTAATTTTCTGGTGTGAGTTTGACCGCGTTGTCTGTTAACGTGGTGACTGCTTGATGAATCTCCCTCTAGAAAGGCTGGATCCGGGGGCATGTCCACCAGATATGGTATAGTGTGTCTGATTCGGTTCCACATCTCCAGCATTCCGGTGCGCTCGTTGAGTGCATGGTCGCGAGTGGGTTTGGGGGTTCAGATGTGGGTAGGTCCATTAGTGGGGCGATGTTCCCGGGTTGCCAGGAGATGTTGTAGCCTGCATGGGGTCGGTAAGCCCAGGCTTGTCATGATTTGGTTTCTGTTGATCATGTGAAATCTATGGTTGTCTGTGATATGGTACAAAGGGGATATCGGAGGGGCAAGGTCCTTGTTGTCTGCTATATTCTTCCAGACCGTTAGGGTGGCTGATATCGTGGGATGTCTCCTTTCATGTCTCTTTATCTGTTGTGGGGCATCCATGGTAGTGTGTGGCGTGGGAGTTGAGTGAAGCTTGCTTCTATAGCGATCCAGAGCTTATCTTCTGTTCCTAAGATCCATTCTGCGATTCGTTGGAGGTGGATGGTTTGGTGATATTTATTAAGATCAGGTCCCCTTGCAGTTTGGGTTTTGTAAGGATGTTGTATTTTATTCTGGCCATTCGATTCCGCCAGACATATCTCATGAAAGCTGTGCGTATTTGGGCTAGGAAAGTCTGGGGGATGAAGATTGGGAGTGTTTGCATCAGGTATAGGAAGCGTGGTAGCGCATTCATTTTGAGAACGTTCACTCGTCCCAGCCAGGTGATATGAGGTATATCCCATTCTGCTAGGTCTTTAATTATTCGGTAAAGGAGGACGGGGAAATTGTGGTTGAACATGCAGTGTGGGTCGGCAGTGAGCCATATGCCTAGATATTTTATTGCGTCTTTACACCAGTGAAACGGGTAGCGCGCTTTTAGGTTCATGGTCAGGGCACGTTCGCAGCCGAGGTTTAGTATTTCCGATTTTGTATAGCTGATGCTGAGATTGGAGAAGGCGTTGTAGTCCTCGAATTCTTGCATGATGGCTGGGAGTGAGGATTGTGGGTCTCAGACTGTGAACAGTAAATCATCGGCGTAGGCCAATATTTTGCTTTCTCCCCACTGTCCTCGTATGCTTGTAATGTCCGGTCTGCTGTGTACCGCATTCAGGAATGGTTCCAGGCTGAGTACAAAAAGTAGGGGCGAGAGGGGGCATCCCTGTCGGGTGCCGTTGTGTATCTGGAATGGTTTTGATATAGACACATATAGACAATGGCTGTTGATATAGACACATGCAGTCGGTTTGTTGTAGAGAGCTGCGATCCATGTTCTCATGTTGGGGCCGAACCCTAGGTGTTGTAGTGTCGCGAACAGAAAAGTCCAGTCTAGCCTGTCGAACCCTTTTTCCGCGTGGAGATTAGAAGTGCTGGTGTTGTCCCTGTCCTGACCGCATACATCAGGTTGATTACTTTGGTCTCTCTTCTTTTGACAAATCCTACCTGGTCCAGATGTATCAGCTTCGGCAGGATGGGTTGGATGCAGAGTGCCAGGATTTTGGTGAATAGTTTCAGGTCAGCATTCAACAGGGAGATCGGTCAGTAACTTGGACATGCTGTGGAGTCTTTGCCTTCTTTGGGTATCACTACTATGTGCGCCTTTAGGGTATTCTGGTCGAGGCTCCCCCCTTCTTTGATGGCATTTAACATACTAAGTAAGTGTGGTGCCAATGTTTAATGGAGTGTGGCAGGTAGTTCCGTTGAGTTTGATCTCTGAGCTAAAGCATTTTTGTCTGGCTTTCCTTAGGGCCTTTGCCAGGAGTTTTCCGCTCTTGTTGCCAAATTCATATAAGGTCTTCTGGGCTTGTCTGTATTGGAAGGCGATCCATTGGGAGAGTTCAGTGCTGCTCTTGCCACGACTAGTTGCGCGTAGGTGTTGTCATTGAGCGTGGCTTTGTGCTGTTTTTCCAAAGCCGCCACTTTCCACGAAAGGTTTGCTGTTTCTTGCGCGTGTTGTTTTTTGTGTTGTGCGCCATGTCAAATCAGGATGCCGCGTATCACACATTTCTGTGCTTCCCACACCATGTCTGGAGTGGATTCTGGGGTGCTGTTTGTTCGAAAGAAGTGGTCTGTGTGGGATTGTACCTCAGTCTGGATTAGGGGGTCTTCTAACAGCGACTCGTTTAGTCACCAGGTCTATTGTTTCTGGTATGGGGTTGGCGAGGTTATCGTGATAATGACCGGAGCATGGTCCAACCAAGACATGGGGGCTATTTTCATGTAGAGGAGGTCATCTGGGTGGAGGAAGAAGTAGTCTATGCATGAGTACGAATTGTGAGGTGGGGAATAGTACGTGTAATCTTTCTCTGTGTGGTGCAGGGTGTCCCAGCAGTCTGACATTTGAAATTAATGCAGGGTGGCTTGCATGCCTCTGAGTACATGGTCTGGAAGGATTGAGTGGCCTGCGGATGTGTCTAGTCTCGGATTCAGCGGTGCGTTAAAGTCTCCGCCAATAATTAGTATTCCATCGCTGAAGAGATCTAGGGCTGTCAGGGTTTTCTTTAGAAAGGGTTTTTGTCCCCTGTTAGGGAGGTATAAATTGGCGAAGGTAAAGCATGTGGCATGGATTGTGCCCTTCAGGAAGAGGTATCTACCATTAGGGTCTGAAAGTTCTTCTTCCAGTTGGAACGGTACTTCGACTGAAAAAAGTATAGCCGTCCCATTGGTTTTTGAGTCCGGGTTGGTGGCGTGGAAACTCAGCGGGAAGTGTTTGTTCGAGAACTTGGGCCACTTGTCAGTTTTGAAGTGGGTTTCCTGGAAGAACGCTATGGATACATGTAGGGCTTTCAGTTCTCGCTCGCTTCTGTGGGGAGTTGAGTCCCTTGGCGTTGATCGTGAGGAGTTTGAGGGCTGGTTGGGGTTGTCTCTGATGCGGGCGGCTGCGCAGGGAGGGGGGATCGGGAGAGAGGAAAAAATAGGGGGATGTGGGAGGGCAGAAAGCGGGGAAGGCGGCTACGGGGGTCTAGTGGTCGCCCGCGCAAGCCCTCCCGGTCGCTTTAGTCGCTCACCGCTGGGGGCATGCAGGGGAGCTATATATGCTGTGGTTGATCTTCTGCGGTCGTGAAGTGTTTGTGTAGGGTGTTGGTTGGTGTCGGGAGCTTGTCATCTCTCCTTGCCTATTGTGGGTACTGGTCTGTGTGTGGTTGTGTTTTGTTCCTCTTTGTTTGCTACCTCCCTCGAAATCAAGGGTGGAGGCCATGTGGATGGCAATAAGGGGCAGTCTGCCTCTGGGGTGTGGTCTCACGTGTAGATCGAGTTCTCAGGCAGTAAACCCATGGGGAGGTGGGTGGCGGTTCTTTGCTCTCTAGCAAAGTTTGTTGGGTGGTTTGTTTGGTCAGATGGCAGGGTCATCCGAGCCCTGCTGCTAGAGCATTTATGTTATGTGGTAAGACTGTGGGTTATATTGTGGTGCAGTAGCGTCAACATGCAACGTTCACATTCAACAAGTTTAAAACATTTGTATAGCAAGTTTAAAACATTTGTATAGCTGGTTAATAGAGTAGAATTTCAACCTTTTAACTTTTGGAGACATTTCATGGAGGCTGCCAGCATCAATCTTTCTGCAAAGACACTCGTTATGTTTCCCCATTACATGGTGTGAGTCGTTGGGGGTTGTGTCCTGTCTGTGTGTGGGGGTGGTGCATCTTAGTGATTGCGGGTGGTGTGTCGGTGTGTGTGCGGGCGGTTGGTTCTTCTGTTGAGGTAGTGTGGTTGTGTTCGTCATTGGCATGGGGGGGCACTTTCGTGTGGGATTGGTATCGTCTTATGTGTGTGGTCTGTCCTAGTTCGCCATCTTTGGTTCTCCGTGGTGTGTGGGTGGGGGGTGGAGTTATGTTGTCGTTTGTGTGTGGGTTTGAATGTGTGTCGGGTTGTGGGTTCTGTTAGCAGGGAGGTGGGTTTCCTTTCCGTTTTGGGGAGTTGTAGCTTCTTGTCCGTGTCTTGTCCGTGAGTGTTGTCGTCTGTGGAGTCTATGCGTGTGGGTCCCCTACAGCCCTTAGTCCACAGTAGAGTCTTTGTGGGCTCCCTTCCTTGAACCGGTTTAGTCACTGTGGGGGAGTCATGTCCGTTCTGGGGGTGACACCGTGGGGTCTACTTGAGTTTTGTCGCTGGTCGGGTCTCCATTGTCTCCAGGCTTTATTCTTCGTGTGCTATTTGGTGGGGCGGGATATTGCCCATGTCCACTCTGTCTGCTCCGAGAGGTTGGGTCACTGGTCTGCCTAAGTTTCTCTCGTTGAGGGGGCAATCTGTTCAGTCTCTTACCGTGATGGCTGGTAGACCCAGCGTATCCAGGAAGATGGGGACATCTGCTGGTAGTCATATTGTGGCCTCTATGTTGTCCTTCCTTGCTGTAAGTGCGAACGGGAAGTGCCATCGTTATCTTAAATGGTGTTCCTGGAGGATAGTTGTGACTGGTCTGAGGGCTCGCCGCGTTTGCAGGGTGAGGTGGGAGAGATCATTGTAGAGTTCCACGTTTTGGCCTTTGTACCGCCATGTTCTTTCTGTGCGTGCTCCCTTTATGATGTCTTCTTTCAACTGGATGTCTTGTATATAGCAGATGACGTCTCTTGGCAGTGGTGTTGGTGGCGGTTTCGGGCGGAGAGTGCGGTGCGCTCTGTCAATATACAGGCGTGCTTCAAGGGGCCTGTTCAGTATGATGTTAAAGAGTGAGGTTAGAGTCTCTCTCAGATTTTCTGTTTCGCGTAGCCCTCTCACTCTGATGTTATTCCTGCGGCTCCTGTTGTCTAAATCTTCAACATGCAGCTGCAGGTCCATAAGCTGCCTGTCATGGTTGTGTGTTTGCTGGGGTACTGGGCCTGCAGATTCCAATGCGGTCATTCTTCCCTCCAAGTTTTTGCCAAGGCATTTGATACAGTTCCACACAATAGATTAGTGTTCAAACTCAAGGAAATCGGTCTAGATGAAAATGCTTGTTCTTGGGTAGAACATTGGCTTAAAACAGAGTACAAAGAGTTGTCATTAATGGTAAATTTTCAAGCTGGACAGAGGTGGCGAGTGGTGTCCCTCAGGGGTCTGTTCTGGGACCCCTTCTATTTAACATGTTTATAAATGATCTTGAAGACCGCATTGAAAGTCATGTTTCAGAGTTTGCAGATGACACCAAACTTTGTAAAACAATACAATGTGAGCAAGATATTACTTTGCTGCAGAGGGATTTAGATAGACAGGGGGACTGGGCACTCAAATGGCAGATGAAATTTAATGTTGAAAAATGCAAAGTTATGCACTTCGGCATAAAGAATACACAAGCAACGTATACCCTTAATGGAAGTGAATTAGGGATAACAACACATGAAAAGGACTTGGGAATTGTTATAGACAACAAACTATGCAAAAATGTGCAATGTCAATCAGCAGTGGCCAAGGCAAGTAAGGTATTGTCATGGATGAAAAAGGGCATTCATTCTCGGGACAAGAATATAATTTTGCCTCTTTATAAATCACTGGTAAGACCCCATATTGAATATGCTGTGCAATTTTGGGCACCTGTTCTAAAGAAGGATACTATGGCACTAGAAAAAGTGCAGAGGCGGGCTACAAAACTAATAAAAGGAATGGAACATATCGGCTATGAAGAAAGGTTAACAAATTTAAACCTATTTAGTTTAGAAAAACGTCGCCTGAGAGGGGATATGATAACATTATACAAATATATTAGGGGCCAATACAAACCATTGTGTGGAAATCTATTCACAAACCGGACTTTACATAGGACACAAGGCCATGCGTTTAGACTGGAAGAAAGAAGATTTCGTCTAAGGCAAAGGGAAGGTTTTTTTACTGTAAGAACAATCAGGATGTGGAATTCTCTGCCTGAAGAAGTGGTTTTATCAGAGTCCATACAGATGTTCAAACGGCTACTAGATGCATACATGCAAGAACAGAATATTCAAGGATATAATCTTTCAATGTAGGGGTAATAACTGCTTGATCCAAGGATAAATCTGACTGCCATTCTGGGGTCAAGAAGGAATTTTTTTCCTAGCTTGTTACAAAATTGTGCTTCAAACTGGGTTTTTTTGCCTTCTTTTGGATCAACAGCA